CCGTCTGGCCTGCTCTCTGACCTGTTTTGGGGGAGAGCAGCCTGGCTGGACCAGGAGTTAGGGCTATTGGCTTTGGCTCAGGACTGCCAGGCTAGGCTGGGCTGAGTCCACCGTGTGGCTACTGTGTGGCTGGGTCAATGGCTAGGTGGTGGCTGTGGCAGGGCTAGACCTAAGGTCTGGAGCTTGGCAAGGGGCCTGAGTGGGGTCAGAGCTCAGGCCACAGGGTCCCCCAGTGCTAGGTAAGGGAAGGTGGTGTTGCCCGGGGGCAGTACCCCTCCCTCTGCGCCTCTGGCCATGGAATGGGCACCAGGTGCTCTCTGTCTGTCTGTCATCTGTCTGTCCCTGCACTAGGACTGGTTCCAGGGCCTGCGTGTCTCAGCATCTTGGAGGGCAGGGTGGGGCCGGGCAGGGCCACTCCTTGTAGCTCCCGGTCAGTAATGCGGCAGTCTGGCCACACCCAGGACACCTGGCCAGTAGCCGGCAAGGGGGACTGGGGCTGTGCTGCATTGGCGTGGGCGAGACCCCACTCCTTGGGGAAAATGAAGATTGATGATGATGATGGGGCTGCTGATACAGAGGAGGAGGGGAGCCCCTCAGCCTGGGTTCGCCCCTCCAGCTGCAGCAGGAGCCCCATGGCCCCTCCTGCTGCCCATTTGTCTAGTGAGCAGTGAGGGCCAGCTGACCACCTGTTTGGTCCTCCCTCACCCAGATAGGAGCCCAAGATGCCTCGATTTTCCCTGGACAGATGGTGGGCGAATGGTGGCCGCTGTGGATTGGTGGGCCCCCAGTCCCCTGCTCCTGACTGTGGCTGGCCCTGGCCACATCACTGAGGACCCGCCACATCACAGGGAGAGGAGAGGGGGCCCAAAGGACATGGGGCCATTGCTCTGCCTCCAGCTTCACACACTGGCCTCTTCCTCACTCCCTGGCCGCCCAGAGACTCCCAAGCTGCAGGGTCTGGGGGCCATTTCAGGCACCCTCCTGCCCCGCAGACGCCTGTGCTGGGCGCCTCTCTTCAGCTGAGGCCCTTTTTCTCTGCTTTGACTTGGTGGTTCCCTGGCCTCTGGGGCATTCCCTCCTCTTGTCCAGCCTACAAAACCATTTGCTCTTAGGGAACGAGGTTAGTGGCTCTCATGGGGCATTGGTAGGAGACCTGCTGGATCAGAGCTCCTGGGGGTTCTGTCTAACATGCAGATTCCCAGGCCCTCCCCCACCCTTTGCAGGAGGCCAGGGAACATGCATTCCTGATAAGCACCACCCCCCCCCCCCCTCGCGATTTCGCCCAGGCCTTTTCTGGCCGAAATTCCCTCCTAGCAGGCCAGAGATGGGCAGGCCCTCCCCAACCCTGGTCTTTCCATCCAGTCCAAATCTATTCTCCGGGGCCAGCCATGCCAGGTCCTCTGAAGACCCCTCCCAGAGCTGTCTGCACCCCTGCCCTCGGCCCAGGGGAGAGGGAGCCATCTCTTGTCCAGCCTGCATGCAGAGGCTACCCCCTGGTGGCTGTGCTGGGAACATACCCGCACAGGGATCCGCCCAGCCCCACTGCACCTGGCCAGTCCCAGCAGGCCCCACCTACCACCACTCCCCGCTACCGCCTTCCAGGCTGACCTCCCCCTAGTCCAGCAGCTCCACCTGGGTGCACCGCCCCCATGCAGGGCACCAACCACTTGACCCTGTGATGGGCCCCAGCTGTTACACCCCTTCCTATCCCAGGGGCAGCCAGTTTCTTCCTGAGGCAGAGCTGGGTAGCTAGACGGACAGGGAGCCCCCTACTCCGTGCCTGGGTCCCTGCCCTGCACGTGCAATCCCCTGGCTTGGCCTGGGGCCCCCGCCCCCACCCCAAGAAGCCCCCACTAGGTGCAGGGAGGCCCCAGGTGCAGTGATGCACCATGAGGGGGGTGATCTGGGTGGTCTCTCTTCAGCGGGGGGCCGTGGCAGCACTGGGGCCTTTCCCAAGAACAGTGCAATTGGTGCGTCTTCTGCGCCAGGCTGGGCCCCTCTGCACGGCCCTGGGCTCAGGGCTGCGAGGAGCGGTGGGCTGCATCTCGCATCTGTGGAGAGCAGTGACCACAGCCGCCCACGGCCGAGGCTGGGCAGAGAGGTAGAGCTGTGTAGCCAGGGAGGCCAAGTGCCAGCCCTGGCGAGCCAGTCTCTGCACTGTCCACACTGGTGGCTTTCCCTGGGTTGTCCACATTGGCGGAGGGGTGCATCCCTATTTTGCAGATGCGGACACTGAGTCTCGGAGCAGTGAGGCAGAGCCCTGCACCAATGTGGAGCCTCTCTGGCCTCCGCAGGGGCCGGAGTGGCTGTGCCACACGCTTTGCACGGTGGTCTGACAGGTGCTGGCTCTGCCCTGCCCCACCAGGTGGGGGGCCCACAGGCAGGAGGGCTCTCGTGTGCTCTTCTTCAGCCTGGAAGTGTCCACGGCAGGAGTGGTCACGGAGGAGGCAGTGGAAGTCACCCTGTGCCGGGGTACTGACACTCCTGATACCTTAAGGAAGCAGATTCTCAAAGCCACCGCTGGTGATGGCATGTGTGTTCCTGACAGCACCCCCGCTGTTTTCCTGGTGGGGACACTGAAGCTGGACAGCCTGCTCCCGCCCCAAGGCCTCAGGACAGGGGGTGGGGTGGGGCCGAGGAGTGGATAGGAGGTCCAGTGCCCCAAAGCCCCCTGCCTCCCCTGTGCCCCGGAAGCGGTGTGCGCCCACTCCACCTGGGGCTTGTTGAGGCCGGGCCTGCAGCAGGAATGCCCCCGTGGCCTTCTCTCCTCTGGCCAAGCTCTTCCATCCTGGGCCCGGCTATGCGCTGCCTCTTTCAGGAAACCCCCTGGATTGTTGGGCCCACCCCTAGCTCTCCTTCAGACTCCGACCATCTCGGCATCCTTTCCTCCATAACTGCCGTTTGCTGAAAGCCTCTGTTTCAGGTTCAGCCTGAGGCTGGCTTGCCTGGGGGTGGGAAACTGGGGGTGCCGGGAAGGAGAAGCGCAGGCAGGTTCCCTGCCACCCACTCCAGGGGTGAAAAGCCTGGATCTCCCAGCTGGGTCCTCTGCCTGGGTGAGGGCAAGAGGAGGCAGACCATAAGCTCAGGGGTAATGTGTGTGGGGGGTGCCTGCCCACCCCTGGGACTTGGGAGGTCACACATCAGGGAGCAGGAGTTCACTGTTGTCCATTCAGCAAAAGTGAGTCAGGCATGGCTTCTGCTATCACTGTAGCCTCGGGTGCACGGAGGAGTCAGGGAGGGCTTCCTGGAGGAAGGGCTACCTGATGAGTAGGAGAGGCCTGGAGAGGGCATTGGCTGGGGAGCAGGGTGGGGGTGGGGGGTAAAGGTGGAGAGGGGCAGAGGCCAGGCTGTTAGAAGGGAGGGCTGTGTCCCAAGGGAACTGGGGAGTCCCAAAGGGTTTCAGGGCAGTCCCCATGGGAAGGGGTGAGGCGAGGTGGGGAGGAGGTGGGAAATGGAGGAGGCTGAGGACTGAGAGGGGGAGGTGGGCAGGGCGAGCCCAGAGGGCTGAGTGTGGACAGGGAGCCTCAGCTGGACACACTGAGAACTGGCTGTGCTCCCCTGACCTCCTCCCGCCCCACTCTACGGGCAGCTGCCCCTTTGGCCGGGGGTTGGGTCACACCGTGAGCCTTCAGGGATACCTCGCTTGCCCACCTCTACCCCCAGGTTTCCTTTTGTTTTTCTTTTTTTGGAAGCTACAGGCGTCTGGAGCCAAAGATCTGCCTGCTGGGTAAATATTTAATAGTCAGAAGCACTTTCTAAAATGGAAAAATGGAGCTGGGCCCAGAAGCCCGAGGGGCTGGGGCAGGGCGGGAGGTGGCATTTCCACCCCCTGCCCACACCCCTTCCCACTGGCCACCTGGTTCCTGCCCTGTGGGGAGCCAGAGGGGGCCACGCTGACCCCAGTGTGTGTATGTGAGAGTGGGGGGTGGCGTTGGGTCCCCCTCTGCAGATAGCTTTTTGGGAGGGACTGGGGCAGGCACATCACGCCCAGGGGTGATGATGGGACTGTAGGCAGAGCTGCTGGCTCCCAGCCACCTCGCCAGCGGAGGCAGGCTGGTGACCTCCCGGGCTGGTCGGCTGTTCAAGGCAGGAGTCTTGGGAAGGGTCCTCGAGCTGCGCTCCTGCCAGGACATAGCGTGGATGTAGGTGTCCATTGCCGAGAGGACAGCTGAGGCTCAGAAAGCAGCGGGCTGGGGACAGGACGCCTGGTGGGGTCCTCGTCTGGGCCCTGCCTCCCTGTCGGAGCAGTAGGATTGACCATCTTGCTCAGGCCCACTGTCCGCCGGAAGGGCTGCCCAGGCGCTGGCGGCTGGCCCCGCTTGGCCAGGTCAAGGCTCCTTTGTCTGGGGCTTGAGCCCCCAGTTGGCTGCCTGCCAGGGTCGGGGTCAGACCGTGGGCTGCCTGCATCCGGCTCTGGGTGCTCTGCCCCTTCCCGCACCTCCCCTCACCCTGGCGATCACCTTGTTTCCCAAGAGCTGCCAGCCTTGCTGGACCCCTCCTAGCGTGGGGAAGAGGATGGCCTCCTACGGGTGCCTGGCCGCGGGAGCCCTCAAGGGTGGCTCCCTTCCCAGCAGGCCTTGCTCCTGGGTGGCACCAGCACCCAAAGGCTCCTCCGTGACACATCCCCTGAGAATGCCATGCTCAGCCCCAGTCTCCTTGCCAGCTGATTCACTATCAGCTGCCTTGGCCCTGCCTGGCCCCTGCCAGCAGCCGAGTTCCCTTGGTGACTCTAGCAGGAGCCAGGGGGTCCAGGCAGCTTTGAGTGACCATTGCGCATGCAGTGGGCATCGGCGGGCACGTGCTTGTGAGCCTGGATCTTAGGACCCGTAGCGTGGCAGCTCAGCAGATGCCCTGCCCTCTGCCCCTTCAGCTGGCCCAGCACCTGTCTGCCCACAGAACCTGGCCACATGGAGCCAGGGGTCTGGCAGGTGGGGGTCCCTGGGGGCTGAGGCAGGTGGGCAGGGCCTTGCCCAGAGCCCCTACCTGCTGGGGAGCCCGGTATGCCCCCTGCGGGACTGCACGCCAGCCCAGGGGCAGGGTGAGCGGTGGCCTCCTGGCTCTTGCCCCTAGAAGGTCACAGTGGTCCTGACCCAGAGCCCTGTGCTTCCAGCCTGACTCTTTCCGTTCCTGCCCAGTGCTCCCGGCCGGCCAGCGTCTGCACTGTCCTGCCAGCAGTCAGCCTGGGAGCCACATGTGCACAGCACTGGCCAAGTGCTGCTGGCGCTGGCTGCCTCTGGGGAGAGAGTCCAGGGTCGGAGCTGCGAGGGCTCCGGGCAGAGCACACGCTGGGAGTCCGGAGAGGGCCTGTGGTGGGGGAGCAGAGCCTAGGATGTTGGGGAGGGGTGTGGCTGGAGGAGAGGCCCCAGCCTGCAGGCCGCATGGCAGTGGGAGTCTGGTGGTGCACCTCCCTCTGGCTGCATGAGGTGGGGGCCCGATTAAGGCTATTGCAGTGGTCCAGGGCCGGGCAGCGGCAGGGGAGCCAGGGGAGGCGGTGGGGTTCAGGGGGATGGGGGCGTGGATCGACTGGTTTGGGGCACCCAGGCTGAGGAGAAAAGGCGGTGGGGTGAGCCCCTTCCTGCCAGCATCCTCCCCCTCCTGCCAGCTAGCTCAGCCTCTGGGCTGTGCTGAGTCAGCCAGTGGGCCCTGCTCTGGGGGCGGTGACGGTCTGGTGGGGTGTCAGGCAGTAAACAAAGAGCTCCCAGGTGAGAGGTGTCTAGGCCATGGGGGTGGGTGGGGTCACAGCCAGCAGGCCTGGCCGGCTTTCCTGTCTCACTGTAAATAGAGTTGTTTGTGACCCGCTAAGTTATTAGACTGGGGGCCTGCCCACGTCCTCTCACCCCGTTTGTCCCCCGGAGCCCTGGGCTGGTGGGGGCCTTCTCCCTACCAGGGAGCCCTCCGAGTGGCCAGGGCCCTTCCCTTGCTGTTGCCCCACCTCAGGCCACTCCTGGCTTCTCGTGTCGGGGTTGGGGGCCCCCTCCCCAGCAGCTCCTTTCTGTGCCTGCTGCCCTCAGCTGCCCCAGGAGTCCCCAGCTCTGTGGCTGCCTTGCTGACCCTGGCCTGGTGTGGTGGCCACGTGGGTGCGGGCGGTCCCATCAATGCCCTCCCTGGGGCTGGGCCTGACTCCTCACCACCCTCGCACCCCAGGCTGGGCCTCTCAGCTGTGGAGGGCCTGCTCTGACCTGCTTGTGGAGTGCTGGTACCCACAGACAGGGGTCCGCCCCCTGAGGGGCGGTGGGGCACAGGCAGGGCAGCCCTGGGATCCTGCAGGAGATCTGCAGATAGCATAGCCAGTGCAGTCCTGCTGGGGACTGCCGGGATCCCAGAGCCCACAGGGGCCTGGAGAAGGAATCCGCATCCTCCTACCCACTCCGCGCCTGGGGCGGGGCTGAGGGTCCCGGGGGGACTGTGGGGTGAGGTGATAGGAGGTGGCAGGCCAGGCAGTCGGAGCTCTGGGGAGCAGGTGGCTTGGGGTCTTTGGACTTGGGGACTCCTCAGCCACCACTTATATCCAAATGAGTGGGGTGGGGTTGTTAAAAATGCTGGTTCCAGGGCCCCGCCACACCCAGCTCACCAATGTCCCGGGGCTTTGAGGCGTGGGGGCTACTGAGTTTCCGCCGGGGTCAGGCTGCCCTCTAGGGGCACGGGCAAGTGGGCATTGGCTGAGGCCTCCTTCCGCAGGGTCACTGACCCACGGGTGGGCCGGGCCTGCCCTGCTTTGGCCTTGGTGGCCTTGTCTGTGGACAGGGCTGGCTGTGCCCTGGGCAGGGGTCTCAGCAGAGCCTGAGGTGAGGGGCCTTGTGGTGAAGCCCCAGGTGCCAGATGGAGCAGGAATCTGTGCCCATCTCAGGTCCCTCCTGGAAGGGCCCCGTCTGCCCCTCGGGCGTGCCCCCACTTCTCTGCACCCTGTACCCCAGCCCCGCCAGTTCCAAACCTCTGCTCTGGCACCTACTGGGAAACTGAGGCACAGGGCCTTTGCGTAGCCTGCCAGAGGGTCCTGTCTGACATGGGAGTCTGTCTACCTGTCTGTCCACACAGCAGGACTGGACTGGACCGGACCGGATAGGGCAGGGCCGGTGGTAGTGACTCAGACATCCCCGTGCTGGGAGGGCGTTTCCTCCCTCAGTCAGCTGCTCACGCTGGGGGGGTTCTCTGGGGGAGGGGCAGGGTCCCCAGCTCCTTGAAGCTGAGGGGCAGGGGCCTGGGCCAGCTGGGGGCCTGTAAGGGGGCCACCCACTCACTCTGGTGGGGCCAGGGGGGCTTGGCAGGGCTCCCTGCCCCAGAAGGAGGCCTGAGGGCGGGCAATGGAGGGAGGGCCTGGGAGGGGCGGGACCAGGCAGGCAGCAGGAGGGAGCCGCCAGCCTGGGATCTTCACTTCTGGGCAAGTTGGGAGGACGTCGGCCTCGGTAAGCGGCTGCGCTGTCTTCTGTTCTTACCCCCGCACCCCTGCCCCCAGCCCCCTTCCCGGGTCCAGCCCTTGGCGCCTGCCCGGCTGACAACCCAGCGGGCCTGTGGGGGCCTGGTGTGGGGCTTGGGAGCAGGGGCCAGAGCTGGGCCAGGCATCTCCCTGACCCCTGCCCTGCCCCAGCCCCAGCTCCAGCTGATGCTGGAAGGGCAGGTGGGCCAGGTCACGGTGGCCGAGGGCACCAGCCCTCTTCAGTCCCAGGACAGGCAGATACCCAAGGCTGGACCATGTGGCCTGCAGGGGGGTCCTCAGATGTTGGCTTCTGTCCTTGTTTGGTGCACTGGGGTTCCTGGTGGGGCGTGGGAGGGAGGGTCAAGCAAGCCCAGGCCTGCTTACCTGCAGGTGCCAGGTGGGTGTGGGGACCCTGTCCCAGGGTCACACTGTGCCGGGCATCTCCCCAGAGAGACAAACAGGCTCGGGCCCACTTGGCCCGTCTGGGGTGAAAAGGAGCATGGGGCAGCTCCTTTTGGCTGCTGGTCCCCTTGGGGTTGGTGGGCTGACATGCCTGCCCCAGGCCTCAGTTTCTCCAGGTGCAGAAGGAAATGCGCTGGGCCCACTTGCTGCCCCTCCCAGGCCCCCCCACCCAGCACCCTCAGGCTGGGCAGGACTTGCCCTTTTCCAGGAGATCTGCCCTGCTCCCTCCCTCCTCTCCCCATCCACTCCCTGCACTAGCATTCGTTATGCACCTACTGTGTGCCGTTATGCACCTATTGTGTGCCAGGCTCTGAGTGCTTGGTGAGCAATGTTCTGGGGACCAGGGACCAGGCAGTGGCCAGAAGCGATGGCAGGGCGGCTAGGCTCAGTCTGTGAGTTGGTGGAGGAAACAGCATGTAAAATGTGCAGAGTGGGGGAGAGAGCCTGGCCTTGGAGCGCTGCTCTGCTCAAAGGTCTGGGACCCAGGCAGCAGCCTGAGGGCTGGGGGGCTGCAGAGGTTGAACAACCTGCCTTGGAGAGGCTCCAAGGCCAGGCTGACCGATGGGTGGCACCAGGGAGCTACAGAGGGGTGTGGCGGGAGAGGGTGATGTGTAAGACTCCTGGTTTCAGCTGGGGCTGCAGTGGGAGTGGCTGCGAGGTGGCTGAGGAGCCCTTGCCCCCAGGTCTAGGCGCACCCAGGTCTAGGGGGACTGAGGCTGGCTCCCCGGCCCTCCTGGAGCCTTCGAGGCAGAAGCAGGAGCCAGGGCCAGCCTCCCCATGCAGCAGTGTTATCTTGAGAAACATCGGGGAGAGCTGGGGAAGCCCTCGTGGCCTGCGGCTGTTGCTTAGGAAAGTCTAAAGGTCTCATGACGAGTCAGCCGAGCACTTTCCTCGTGAACTTCCAGGATAGGGTGAGGCCCGAGCGTCCATGTGCCCGTGTGGGCACTGGGCTCCAAGCCCCGAGGGCAGCGTCCTTGAAGGGTGAGCCTCCCTCGGGGGTCCCACTCCCATAGTTCCCTGGGTCAGCTGGTGGCCTCCCCCGGGACTGTGCACTGGTGCTCCAAGGAGGGTCCCAGGCCCAGACACACATGTCCACACACACCCCTGCATGTGAGCATGAAGACCCTGTGAGCAAATGCCCTTGCATGAGCTCTTGCGCACACGCACACGTAGGCATGCACTCAGGCCACCATCTAGGGCCCCCTTTGCGGCCCTCTTCCCACCTCTTCCCATGGGTCCCCAGTCCCACCATTGCCCTGGTGACATGCAAACGCACCCACCATACCTCCATACCTCGTCCCATCTGGAGGCTGGAGCTGGGCCCCAGGGGCAGCCAGTTTGGAGGCAAACTTGGGTTTTGTTTAAGCAAAATTGCCCCACCCATGCGTGGCCCTACTCTGGGCCCTCCAAGAACTCCTACTTGGCTGGGGGCTAGTGAGAGAGTCCCCAACTCAGTCCAGAGCCCTGTGGGCAAGGTGAGTCTGGAGAAGTCATCCTGGGCAAATGCCCCCCTTCCTGCATCCCCCTTCACCTGCTCCCCTAGCCAGCAGAGCACCTCTCCGTGGCTCTGAACCCTCCCCAGACACACTTCCTGGAGGCCCCACCCCAGAATATTCCAGTTCTTGGGAGTGAGGCTTTTCTGCTGATGGTGAGCCCAGCCCCCACTCATCCCGTGTCCCCCAGGCCCTCCACCCTGGAGTGGTTAAGGCCTGACCTGGGGTCACTCCCCCGGGGTACCAGTTTGCATTGCAGGAGTGGGATGTTCCAGTGGTGTCTGAGGCCCAGGACAGGTTCGGGTTAGGAGCTGGACGGAGCGGGTTAGCACCTAGGTTGCCGGGGCGGAGGAGGGGAAAGGGCATGTGGGGAGGCACCAGGTGCCAGCAGCCACACTTGCTGGGCCTGGCTTGGCATGTCACCTCCATGTCCTCTGTGAAGTGGGGCTTTATTATGATTGTCATTTGAGGTGACTCTGGGGCTGCCCTGCTTCAGAGGCTGTCTGGGGCCGGCGGGGTGCCGGGGCCAGGTCCAGCAGGCTGACAGGACGCCTCCCCTGCACTCAGAGCTGAGGTGAGGGCCCCTCAAGACCTGGGGCCTGGGAGGACGAAGCTCTGGGGGGTACTGGGGTGCCTGCTCTTTCCTCCCCAGGGGCGCAGGTCAAAGCTGGCAGGGCTGCTGCAGCCTTGCCCCACGGCAGGCAGGATTTCCTCCTTCCTGTCTGTGTGTCCCTGGGCCAGGCTCCTGCCAGCCCCGGGTTCTGCCTTAAGGGGCGCAGAGGGACCCATAGCTTAAAACCACAGCCTGGCAACCTCCCAGCGGTGTGGCCTTGGGCTGGGCTGAGCTGGGCCTGCTGCCTCCCTGAGGCCTGAGCTTCATCCCTACCGTGGGCACAGGGCTCAGTGCCACCCAGGGGGTGGTTGTGAGGGTGGGACTGGCCTGGGTGGGCCCAGCAGGCAGGACGAGGCTCGCGGGCCAGCTGGAGCAGGGCTGGCTGCGCCTCTCTCCTCCCCTTGGGTTCCCAGCGCAGGGTGTGCCCCGGCTTCCCAGCTGTAAACACCTTTCCTCACCCTGCCCTCGACGCCCACGGGACCCCTGGAGCAGATTTGGGGGTGCAGCTCTTGATGCCCACGGGAATCCCCTGGAGCAGACTTGCGGTGCAGCCCTCGATACCCACGGGACCCTGGAGCAGATTTGGGGGTGCAGCCCTCGACGCCCAGGAGACTCCCCTGGAGCAGATTTGGGGTGCAGCTTCTCAGGGCCGACCACGGGGCCTTCCCCCGCAGCGCGCCCCCCAGCACACGGCGCCCAGCCCGAGGCCCCGCCCGCCGGCCGCTCGGCACTCCCGGCCTGGCTCCCCTGATCCAGCAGCCGCCTTCCAGAGCCCTTCCCGGTCTGCGCGACCGCCGCCCCAGGGACCCGCCTGCCGGCCGGGAGGGGCGATGCGCTCCTGTTTTGCTGTCTGACTTGGCGGCGGCGGCGGCGGCGGCGGGAGGAGCGGGCGGGTTTCTGGGCGGAACCCGGAGCTCCGCAGACCTCCCCACCCCCGTGCTGGGGCTGCCTGAGCCCCGCCCCCGACGGCGCAGGCCCCACCTCCAGGCCGGCAGGGACCCTCCGACGCCCCCCAGGCGGCCCCGGGTGGGGCGGGCGGGGAGGCAGCGCCGGGAGACCGGTCCCCCCGACGGCTGGGGGCGGGGGCGCCGCCGTGTCTGGACTCAGCCCCTGCCGTGTCCCTGCTCCACCTCCTGCGGAACGAGCCACCTCGGGCAAGTGGCCTCCCGTCTCCCAGCCTGTTTCCTCATTGCTTACCCACAGCGCACCCACTCTGGGGATCAGGGGTGAGGGTCTGGACAGAACTGGAAGGGAAACTGAGGGCAGAGAGAGTGGAGTCAGCCGCCTCTGCCAAGCTCCCCCTTGGCTTCCGCGCAGGGGAGCAGTCTCCGCTCCCCGCCACGCCCTCTGGCAAGGCCCGGAGGCGGAGTCAAGAACTCTCTCTCCCCAGCTGGCGACGCCTTCCCGCCGCCGCCCCCTCCGCACCTCCCCCTCCTCAACCCCCCTCCACAGCGCAGCCCCTCAGGTTCTTCTGGGTGGGCAGAGCGGCCCTCAGACATGTTTGGGGAAATCAAGGCTCAGAGAGAGGTCAGGCTTGCTCAGGGGCACACTGCAAATTGGCCAGAGCGTAGCAGGCAAACGGCACTTCTGCCAGGACCCGCTCCGTGGGGGCAGGGACGCGCCCAATCCCGGTCAGGCCGGGTGCCCATCCCGTGGGCAGGGGCTCGCTCCCTCTGCGCTCCACGCTCTGCTGGCCTGGTGGGGCGGGAGTGGGCACTCGTGTCCCCTGGTCACCAGCAATGCGGTCACACGGGGGAGGGCCTCCAGAGCTGCTGAGAGATCAGTGCTTTCCTTTGAATATTTAGTACAGTTGGGGCGAGGCGGTTGGGTCTGCTTGTGGGAAGGTTTTAAATAAGGGATTTGATTGTTCAATCATTACAGAACTATTCAGATGGTCTTTCTCCCTGCGCCTGTTGGCGGGGTGTTTCTCTAGGAATATGTCCAATTCATCTAAATTTTCAGATTTATTGGCATAAAGTTTATAATTGCCTCATGTCAATTTTATGTAGAATTTTAAAAATTTTTCTTGAAAAAGAGTATACATCCTAAGTACGTAGCTTGAGACATTTTCCCAAAGTGGACACACTGGTGTAGCCCCGTACCACAGCCAGGGGCCCTGCCTGGCTGGCTCTGCCCTCCCCAAAGGGGTGCTCACAGGAGCAGGGCTGTGCAATCCAAGCTCCGTGTGGTACAGCTCTGTGTGAGCTCTTGGCACAGCCAGCTCTGTCTCCACATTGTGTGTGTGAGATTCACCACATGCCGCAGAAGCAGTTCATTCATTTGCATTGCCATATAATATTCCGTTGGACAAATACCCACATTTTTTTTTCATTCTATTGTTGATGGACATTTTTTTTTTAATTTTTTATTTATTTATTTTTCCCCCAAAGCCCCAGTAGATAGTTGTATGTCATAGTTGAACATCCTTCTAGTTGCTGTATGTGGGACGCGGCCTCAGCATGGCCGGAGAAGCGGTGCGCTGGTGCGCGCCTGGGATCCGAACCCCTGGCCACCAGCAGCAGAGCGCGTGCACTCAACCGCTAAGCCACGGGCCGGCCCTGTTGATGGACATTTGAGTCTTTCTGATTTCTGGGTTCTACGGTAGTGCTGAGGTACACATTTTGGTACCTGTCTTTTGGGGACCATATGTGTTTCTGTTGCGTGTGGAGGGGGGACCACAGGGCGGGGCCGGAAGTGTTAGACTAGCAGACACTGCCAGGCTGTTTTCCAAAGTGACTGTCAGTTCCCCCCAGCACCTACAACGGGGGGAGTTGCAGTTGCCTCCCGTGCTCTACACGTTGCGGTGTGGCCAGCCTTGTTCATTTCAGCTGTCTCCTTGTTGTGTGATGACTATGGATGCTGAGCGCCTGTCCACAGGTTAATTGACCAGTTGGAGGTCTTCTTTTGTGAATTGTACTTCCAGAGTTTGCTTGCCCATTTTTCTGTTGGGTTATCTGTCTTTTTCTTTTGGTTTCCAGGAAGTCTTTGTACATTCTGGGTGGCAGCCCTTTGTTTGGTAAATGTATTGCAAATCTCTTTGCCCAATCCATGGCTTGACTTTTCACTCTCTGGGTGGTGTGTTTTGATGAACAGAAGCTCTTCATTTTAATGTAGACAGATTTATCAGTCATTTCCTTTAGGGCTAGTGCTTTTCGTGTCCCCAAAGTCATTCTGTTTTATCTTCTGGATGCGTTTTTGTTAAACCGTCAACTTTGGATCTGCAATCCACATGAAATTGATAGTTTTTTGTGGCTGACGTATGAGTTGAGATTAATATTTTTCCATATGGATATCCAGTGGACCCAGCACCAGTTATTGAAAAGATCATCTGTTTCCCTTAGCTTTATATCTGTGTCAGTCTGGTTCTGGGATCTTTGTGCCATTGGTTTTAATTTGCATTTTCCTATGGCTAAAGATGTTGACCCTCTTGTGCCTACTGGTACATATTCTTTTGTGAAGTGTCTGTCCAAATCTTTTACCCATTTTTGATTGATTTTTTTGACTTTTTCTATTGATCTGTAGGAATCTTCTGGATGCAAGTCCTTTGTCAGATATATGCATTACCTTTTCATTGTCTTAAGAATGTCTTTCAAGACGAGGAGTATTTAATTATGATGAAATATAATTTATCACATTTCTTTTAGGACTCACACCTTTTGTATCCTGCTTAGGAAAACTTTGCCTCCCCCAAGGTGGCAAAGAATTTCTCCTATGTTTTCAACTTCTTGTAGAAGTTTTATAGTTTTAGGTTTTACGTTTAGCCCTATGATTCATTTTGAGTTAATTTTTATATGTGATGTGAAGTAAGGGTTCAAGGTTTTATTTTTTTTTCCCAAATAAATATTCAGTTGTCCCAGCACCATTGTTAAAAAGACTATTAATTTTCTATTGAAATAACTTGGCTGCTTTGTCAAAAATCAATTGACCATACAAAGTGTGGGACTCTTCCAGACTTTCTATTCTGTTCCATTGATCTTTATGTTTATACCATACTGCCTTGATTCCAGTGGGGCTCAGAGAAAATACCTAGTACGATTTAAATTATTTTAAATTTATTGAGACATTTTTAATGAGCCAGCATATAGTTTGTCTTGGTGAATGTCCCGTATGCACTTAAAAGGAATGTGTATTCTGCTCTTGTCAGGCCGAGCAATCCCTAAGTATCAACTTGGTCTTCCCTGTTCTATTTCATGAGGCTGTCGACTAGGAGGGGAGTGTCAGTGTCTCCGACTGTGATTGTGGGTTTGTCTATTTGCCCTTGCAGTATTGCCAGTTTTCACTTCCGTGTTTTTAACCTCTGTTCTTAGGTGTGTACAGACTTAGGTTTATTATGTTCTTTGATGAATTATCCCCTTTATCATTATGAAATGTTATGAGTAGTTTTTGCATGCTATATATTTTTCTTTCCTTTCACTTTTAACCCATCTGTATCTGTATATTTATGGTCCATTTCATGTAGATAGCATATAGTTGGGTCTTGCTTTTCTCTCTCTTCTGACAATCTCTACCTTTTGATTGGAATTTTAAGTCCCTTCATATTTAATGTAATTGTTGATATGGTTGGTTTAAATCCTACCGTCCTGTTAATTGCTTTCTATTTTGTCCCATCCGTTCTTTGCTCCTTTTTCCCTCTTTCCTTACCTTGTTTTAGCATTAATTAAATATATTTACACATATGTAACTGCTCAATAATATACGTAATACATATATATTTATATATTTTATACTATGTATACATTGTATATATTTGTATATACACAATAGATACACTTACATGTATTTATAGATAATGTATTGCTTTTACTATTCCATTTTCTTTCCATATTGGCTTATTAGCTATGCATTTTTTTAATGATTGCTTTATGGTTTATACTATGTACATTTTACTCATCACAATAACCTTCAAATAGCATTATTCTACCTCATGCACAATATAAGAACTTTACAGCAGAAACTGCCTTTACCACCAACCCCATCCTTCATGTAGTTGTCATATGCTTTACTTCTGCATATGTTAATTCTAGATTTTATTATTTTTATTTTATGCAGTTAGTTATCTTTTTCAGCTCTATTGAGGTATGATTTACATATCATAAAGCCCATGCATTGTAAATGTACAATTCAGTCGTTTTTAGTAACTTTATAGAGCTGTGCAACCACTACAATCCAGTTCTAGAACATTTCTATCACCTCCAAATTCTCTTGAGCCTGTTTACAGTCAGTGCCTGCTCCCACTCCTAGCCCTAGGCAATATTTCATTCATTCTGGTAAACTATAGAAATTCTGATCAAACATATCTCCTTTTTCCTCCCCCTCCTTTTTGCTATTATTGTCATATGTATATTACATCTATATACGTTATAGTCCCAAAATATGGTGTTAGAATTATTGCCCTGTGCGAGGAGTTGACAGACTATGGGCTGTGCACTAAATGCAGCCTGTTTGTTTTGTGAGTGAAGTTTGGTTGGAACGCAGCTTTGCTCATTCATTTCCGGGTGTCTGCAGCTGCTTCTGTGCTGCACCTGGAGGGCCACATCAGGGATGGGATGGCCTGCAAGGCCTAAAATAGCTATTAAAAGCAAGAAATAGCAAGAAAAGTTTGCCAACCCTGCTGTATACAATCTTATGTCTTTTAAAGAAGTTAAGAGATGGAATGAGGAAAAGGATTTATTTATAGAGGTTTTTATAGTTGCCCGCATTTTTACCATTTTCTCCATTCCTCATTTCTTTCTGTGGATTTGAGTTAGTATCTGGTGTCAGTTCCTTTAGCACTCCTTGTAAGGCAGATCTGCTAGCAATGAATTCTCCCAGACTTTGTTCATTTGCAAATGTCCTTATTTTGCCTTTATTTTGAAGGATCATTTGCTAGATATAGAATTTGGGTGACAACATTTCCCTCTCAGCAATTTGAGTATGTTGTTCCACTTTCTTCTAGCTTCCATGGTGTCAGATGTAAATTGTATTCTTGTGCCCTTATATGGGATGGGTCATTTTTCTCTTGCTGCTTCCAAAATTTTCTTTTTCTCTTACACATTTTGACTGTGATGTGTCTAGTCTGGATCTCTCTGTGTTTTCCTATCGGTGTTTGTGAGCTTCTTGGATCTGTAGGTTATCCTCAGCCTTTATTTCTTCAAATATTTTTCTGCCTCTTTCTCTTCCTCCTTTCCTTCTGAGACTTCTCTTACACGTATATTGGTATTCTTACTGTTGTCCCACAGATATCTGAGGCTCTGTTCATTTTTCCTCTGTTCTTCAAATTGGTTAATTTCTATTAATCTACACGTTTTTCGTTTTTTTCTTCTGGTGTCTCAGATCTGCTCTTAAGCCCCTCCAGTAGATTTTCAACTCCAGAATTTTCACTTGGCTTTTTTATGATTTCTGTTTCTTTATGACATTCTCTCTTCATTGAGCCATTGTCATCATGTATTCCATTCATTCTTTAAACGTGGTTTCCTTTAGTTTTTTAAACAAATTTATAATAGCTGCTTTGAAGTCGGTGCTAAATCCAACCCCTGTGGATGTTCAGGACAGTGTCCGTTACTGCTTCGCTCCTCAGTGTGGATCATACATCCTGTGTCTTTGCAGGTCTTGTAAGTTTTTGTTGAATGTCGGATGTTCTAGGTTACACACTGGGGCAACTCTGGACTCTGATTCCCCCTCACAGTGATTACTGTTGTGTGTGTGTGTTTAGTAACTTTCTTGGACTAAATCAGTGGTGTCTCTCTCCTTTGTCTGAGCTCCCCTGGTGCTGGCTCACTGCCATCTGACCTGATATCACCACCTCCCTGGCCCAGTGGCTGTGGATCCCCCCCACCCCTGTGTGTGCACTCAGACCCAGTGTCCAGGATGGGGCTACACCACCTCCATGGTAGATGTCCCCTCCTGGGCCCCCACCCCCAGGTCACCATCTGATCCCGCCACCTGCGTGGCTCCACTGACTCAGCCTCTCTCTCCACAGTGTCTGGCCGGCAGCTGCAGCCCGGGGAGCCAGATGCAGAGACCGAGGAGGACCACTCTGTAAGTGAGCCCCAGGGAGGCCGCATGTTCCACTTATAGCCCCGCACCCATCCTTTCTGGGCCTGAGCAGAGCCCGAGTGGCTAAGGGTAACCTGATTCTCTCCTGCTAGGTGACTGAAGGGCCTGTGGACGAGACCATTCGGCCACGGCCACAGGGGTCCTCACCTGTCTACGAATACGCCACTGAGGGTACTGGCTTCGGACCCCCGGTAAGCCTGCTGGACAGAGACCCCCAGGCTGAGGGAAGGCCCAGGCATGGGGCCTTCCTCCTCCCGCATCACCCTGTGTGGGCAACTCATACGTGTGTCTGAGCAGCCTTGCCGCCCTGCCCTGCTGCCCACTGGGCCATCCTTTCTGACCCCTCTGCACCACTTCCCCCAGGACCCCTCCCTGCAGTTGGCCAAGACACAGTCATGGTGGCGCACGTGTGTGTGCGTGTAGGGAACAGACCTCATGCTTCTGCGTGTAGCATGGCACAGGCTGTATGCGCACACATGCCATCTCTGGAAAGGAGACACAGACAGGGTCCCCACGGCCACCTCTGGAGAGGAGGACGCGGCGAGGGCCTTGGGGAAGACGTGTTTACTGACGGATGCGTTCTTGTCCTGCTTGTATTTCTTTCTTACCCTGCTCCACACAAAACCCCAGTTACCGTGGGGTTTCCCTGGGTGTGGCCCTGTCAGGAAGCACCGAGGCCCTGAGTCACCATCTCCCTGGAGGGCCTCAGCTCCCTCTGCCCACAGCTGTGCTCTGGGGGTTCTGGGCCCTTTGAGCTGGGCTCTCCTGGCCTCCCCGAGTCCCCCTGCCCCCTGGGCTGGGGCTGGTGGGTGACCCCTGTGTCTGTGGCTGCAGGAAGACACGCCGAGCAGGCAAGCCTCCTCAGGGAGGCGGAGATCCTGGTGGAAGCGAGATTCAGGGGACTCACGGACATTTTCCAGGATGAGCCATCCAGAGGTGGGTATGGTGGCAGCTGAGGGTCAGGGGGGTGACCCCTCCAAAGGGCTCCAGCCAGGGTGACCTGGGCCAAAACCAGAAGGAGGGGGGCAAGGAGGCTGGCAGTGAGCCACTGTGTCCTGTGCAAGGGCATGCCCGTCCCCCTCATCAGGCCTGTGGGAGTGGTGGGGAGGGGTTCCAGAGGGCTGGTCCAGGCTTCCACCAAGACCCCTCTACTCCTGTGATGAAGAGCCTGGACTACTGGCCAGGTGGACCGAGATGCACAGACCTCAGTGTTCTCAGCTGTACAATGGGTAAGGCTGCTGCCTGCTGTGTACACAGGCCACAGAATGTGCTAGATTCTGTGGGCACCCAGTGCAGTAGGTGCACTGCCTCCTGAGGCAGCCTGTTCTGTCATTGGCGGCCCCAGCAGTTCTAAAGCTCTGCCGGTCCCCGAGGCCCCCATCATCTCCAAGGTCAGACCAGCCACACTGTTTGCTGTACTTTCCTCGGCGTTTATGACCCTCCTTGGTTTGAGCACCAGCTGCCTGGTGTGCGATCAGTGCTTAGAACGAGTGTGAAGAGCAAACAATGAGCCAACGGGAGAGGGTTTGGCCCCTGTGTGCAGAAGCCTCTCCTTTCTGCGCAGTGAGCTGCACTGGGCGTGGATGGGGGCCAAGACCAGGCTGCTCCTGGGTCCTGGCAGGTGGGGCGGGGACAAGAGGAGGCCCCTCCCACCTGAGGCTGCCTGCAGCTGGCTTCCTCCAAAGTTGGATACACCTGGCTGGGGGCCCTACCCTTGCCCTGTGTCACCTGGATGATGGACAGGACTCTGGGGTCCCCATCCTCAGGGGAGGCAGCCCCCAGCACTGATGCCTGTGATGGGACAAGCACATGCTCACCACGGCCCTGATGTGCTTCTGCTCCAGTCCATGCAGGAGGCGACAGAAGTGACACTGAAGACCGAGGTGGAGGCTGGAGCCAGTGGCTACAGCGTCACTGGCGGTGGGGACCAGGGGATCTTTGTCAAGCAAGTGCTAAAGGATTCCTCGGCTGCCAAGCTCTTCAGCCTGAGAGAAGGTGCCATGATCGCCCCATTCCTGGGGTCCCCATGGTCCCTATCAGGGTGGGAGGTACCTGGAGGGGGATAGGGGCCACGCCTGGAGCTCAGGATGACCCCCTGAGACTGCTCAGCTGTGTCCAGGCTGGTGCCACTCGCCGTGCTGGGTTTTCTCACCTGTGAAATGGGGTAGACCCCTTCCCACCCAGGGCTTGATGGAGGGACGGGGCTGGGCAGCCCGGGCAGGTGTCCCTTTCTCCTTCCCACACCCCTGTAGACCCCTCCCTCACAGCGATGGTGAGGCCGGGGGAACTAAGGCCCCAGGCCCACCTTGTCTTTCTCCAGGGGACCAGCTGCTCAGCGCAACCGTATTCTTTGACGACATTAAATATGAAGATGCTCTCAAAATCCTCCAGTACTCAGAGCCGTACAAGGTTCAGTTCAAAATCAGACGGAAACTTCCTGCCAGAGAGGATGAGGCGTGGGCTTCTGGCGGTTTGCAGCGCGGCCCGCAGGGCAGTGAGAAGCAGGTCAGGCAGCCGTGGGCAGCGAGGCTGGGCCTGCACCCCTGGGCCGAGGCTGGGAGGGGCTGACCCTCCCCTCTGTCCCTTGAGCCCAGGGCCTCAGACTTCTTACACTGGCACCAACAAGTTTACTCTCCCTGTTTCAGGACGAGGATGTCACTGATGGGTCCACAGAGACCCCCACGAAGACGCTGGAAGGAGGTGGAGACCAAGAGAGACTCATCTCAAAGCCCAGGGAGGGCAGAGGCAGGCGGCCCCAGAAGGAGAGGCTCTCCTGGCCCAAATTCCAAACAATAAAGAGCAAGCGTGGCCCAGGACCCCGAAGGTCACACAGCTCCTCTGAGGCCTATGAGCGGGGGGACGTGCCTGATGTGTCCCCCACGAGCACAGACACAGAGGCCCAGCTCCCAGCAGAGGAGCAGGAACAGAAGGCAGGGCCAGGTAGCCAGCGGAGGAGGAGGTTCCTGAACCTGAGATTCAGGGTGGGCTCAGGGAAGGGCCTGTCACCGGTGGGGCGACCGGGCAGAGGGGCCCGGGGTGAAGCGGTCCAGGCTGGGGTCCTGGAGGAGACAAGACCCGGGGATGACAGACGAGAGGACATGGAGGCCGCTGCACACGTCAGGAGAGAGGACAGGACAGAAGAGGTACAAGAGGGGGTTCCTGCTCTGAGCCCACAGTGGCCCACAGAGCCTGGCCGCCCCAGAGAGGAAGCCATGGGGGAAGGGACGAGCATGGCACCCAGACACCCAAGGAAAACGAAGGAGGCACAGGTCCAGGAAGAGACAGTGCCTCAAGGGAAACTCGAGGCGGGTCCAGCCCTAGGACAGAATGGGGAGGCCCAGAGAGAAGGAGTGCAGGGGCTGGAAATTGGCATTGCCAGGTTGTCTCTGAAAGACGTCGCAGAGGAAGACCAGACACAGAGCCGCCAACCAGAATTCCACGTCCGAATACCCAGTTTAAAGACACCCAAGTTTGGATTTTCCAAAGAAAAAGCGCTAGGGACAGAAGAAAGCATGATCACCGTCCAGACAGGGCCCACGGAGCAGGAGGACACCCAGGGGGCCAGGGCAACCCCAGTGCCCCTGCCAGAACAGGAGAAACAAAAAGCAGAGGGGGACGCCGCTGGGCAGAGAGAAGAAGACACCAAGAGTGGGGACAAGGCTATGGAGGGAAAGATGAAAATGTTGAAATTCAAAATGCCCTCCTTCGGGTGGTCACCAGTGAAGCAGCCAAGGTCAGAGGCAGTGAAACCACCACAGGGAGCAGAGGAGGAAAAAGGAACTGGCATCACACTTGTGAATGTGCGGACAGACGTGGGAGGCATAGATATGCAAGGAGAAGACAGAGAGAAACACAGGGCAGAGACACACCCACCAGAAATAAAAGGAGACAGTGAAGAGAGGAGGAGGATGGAAGGCATCGAATCCCAGGGAGACAAGGTGGTGGCCGCCAGAGACAGGAAGTTCAAAATGCCCAAGTTCAAGATGCCGTCCTTCAGCGTCTCGGCACCAAGCAAGTCCACTGAGGCCACGGTGGACGTGTCCCTGCCCAAGGTACAGGCCGACATCAAGACCGGAGACCTTGGCACACAGCTCCCATCAGCCGAGTTGGAGGTCAAGACAGCTGAGGTGGGCGTGAAGCTCCCAGAGGGCAAAGTGCCTGAGGGACAGCTCCAGGAACCCACCACTGGAGCCGGACTCAAAGGGCACCAGCCCAAGGTGCAGATCCCCAGCATCAAGAAGCCCAAGGGGGACATCAAGGCCCCCGAGGTGGACATCAAGGGCCCCAGCGTGGACCTGAAAGGCCTCCAGGGGAAGGTGAGCGCCCCCAGTGTGGAGGTGTCTCTGCCCAGCGTGGAGGTGGACGCCCAGGTGCCGGACGCTAAGCTGGAGGGCGATGTGTCCCTGGGAGACAAGGAGGTGGCCGCAAGAGACAGCAAGTTCAAAATGCCCAAGTTCAAGATGCCGTCCTTCAGCATCTCGGCACCAAGCAAGTCCACTGAGGCCACGGTGGACGTGTCCCTGCCCAAGGTACAGGCCGACATCAAGACCGGAGACCTCGGCACACAGCTCCCATCAGCCGAGTTGGAAGTCAAGACAGCTGAGGTGTGCGTGAAGCTCCCGGAGGGCAAAGTGCCTGAGGGACAGCTCCAGGAACCCACCGCTGGAGCCGGACTCAAAGGGCACCAGCCCAAGGTGCAGATCCCCAGCATCAAGAAGCCCAAAGGGGACATCAAGGCCCCCCAGGTAGACATCAAGGGCCCCAGCGTGGACCTGAAAAGCCTCCAGGGGAAGGTGAGCGCCCCCGGTGTGGAGGTGTCGCTGCCCAGCATGGAGGTGGACGCCCAGGTGCCGGACGCTAAGCTGGAGGGTGACGTGTCCCTGGGAGACAAGGAGGTGGCCGCCAGAGACAGCAAGTTCAAAATGCCCAAGTTCAAGATGCCGTCCTTTGGCCTGTCAGCACCAAGCAAGTCCGTCGAGACCTCGGCAGACAGGTCCCTGCCAGAGGTACAGGCCGACATATCCCGGCCCTCCATTGAGGCGGAGGTCAAGACCGGAGACCTCAGCATTGAGCTCCCATCGGCCGAGCTGAAGGTCAAGACAGCCCAGGTGGGCGGGAAGCTCCCAGAGGGCCAAGTGACCGAGGGAGAGCTCCCAGAACCCGCCACAGGAACCGGACTCAAAGGGCACCTGCCCAAGGTGCAGATGCCCAGCATTCAGTTGCCCAAGGTGGACATCAAGGCCCCCGAGGTGGACGTGAAGGGTGCCAAACTGGACCTGAAGGGCGCCAAAGCGGAGGTGACAGCACCCGGCGTGGAGGTGTCTCTGTCCAGCATGGAGGTGGATGCCAAGGTGCCCGATGCCAAGCTCGAGGGCAGCATCACCCCGGGAGACAAGGAGGTGGCCGCCAGAGACAGCAAGTTCACAATGCCCAAATTCAAGATGCCGTCCTTTGGCCTGTCAGCACCAAGCAAGTCTGTCGAGACCTCGGCAGACGTGTCCCTGCCAGAGGTACAGGCCGACATATCCCGGCCCTCCATTGAGGTGGACATCAAGACTGGAGACCTCAGCATTGAGCTCCCATTGGCCGAGCTGAAGGTCAAGACAGCCCAGGTGGGCGGGAAGCTCCCAGAGGGCCAAGTGACCGAGGGAGAGCTCCCGGAACCCGCCACAGGAACTGGACTCAAAGGGCACCTGCCCAAGGTGCAGATGCCCAGCATCCAGATGCCCAAGGTGGACATCAAGGCCCCCGAGGTGGACGTGAAGGGTGCCAAACTGGACCTGAAGGGCGCCAAGGCGGCGGTGACCGCCCCCACCGTGGAGGTGTCTCTGCGCAGCGTGGAGGTGGATGCCAAGGTGCCTGATGCCAAGCTCGAGGGCAGCGTCACCCCGGGAGACAAGGAGGTGGCCGCCAGAGACAGCAAGTTCAAAATGCCCAAGTTCAAGATGCCGTCCTTCAGTGTGTCAGCTCCACGCAAGGATCTGGGAACATCTGTGGACGTGCCTGTGCCCAAGGTCGGAGGGGAGGTGACCCTGCCCTCTGTGGGAGGAGAGATCACAGCCCCAGAGGGCAGTGTCCAGCTATCATCTGCTGACATCCACCTGCCAGGGGCAGAGCTGGAGGTGGCCCTGCCTGAGGGAGAGGTGACAGTGGCCGAGCTGAAGGGGAAAGCAGAAGGGGCCAGGATCGAGGGCCACCTGCCGAAGGTGCAGATGCCCAGCGTCAAGATGCCCAAGGTGGACATCAAGGCCCCCCAGGTGGACATCAAGGGCCCCAGCATGGACATGAAAGGCCTCCAGGGGGAGGTAAGCACCCCCGGCGTGGAGGTGTCTCTGCCCAGTATCGAGGTGGACGCCGAGGTGCCAGGCGCCAAGCTGGAGGGCGACGTGTCCCTGGGAGACAAGGAGGTGGCTGCCAGAGACAGCAAGTTCAAAATGCCGAAGTTCAAGATGCCGTCTTTCGGCCTGTCGGCATCAAGCAAGTCTGTCGAGACCTCGGCGGATGTGTCCCTGCCAGAGGTCCAGGCCGACATATCCCGGCCCTCCATTGAGGCGGACGTCAAGACCGGAGACCTCAGCGTTGAGCTCCCATTGGCTGAGCTGAAGGTCAAGACAGCCCAGGTGGGCAGGAAGCTCCCAGAGGGCCAAGTGACCGAGAGAGAGCCTCCGGAACCCGCTGCAGGAACCGGACTCAAAGGGCACCTGCCCAAGGTGCAGATGCCCAGCATCCAGATGCCCAAGGTGGACATCATGGCCCCCGAGGTGGACGTGAAGGGCGCCAAACTGGACCTGAAGGACGCCAAGGCGGAGGTGACCGCCCCCACCGTGGAGGTGTCTCTGCGCAGCGTGGAGCTGGATGCCAAGATCCTGGGTGCCAAGCTGGAGGGCGATGTGACCCTGGGGGACAAGGAGGTGGCCGCCAGAGACAGCAAGCTCAGAATGCCCAAGTTCAAGATGCCGTCCTTCAGCGTGTTGGCGCCAGGCAAGTCCGTCGATGCCTTGGCGGACGTGTCCCTGCCCAAGGTACAGGCTGACGTCAAGACTGGAGAACTCAGCATTGAGCTGCCATTGGCCGAGCTGGAGGTCAAGACAGCCCAGGTGGATGTGGAGCTCCCGGAGGGCCAAGTGCCCAAGGGAGAGCTCCCAGAACCCGCTGCAGCCAGACTCAAAGGCCACCTGACTAAGGTGCAGATGCCCAGCATCAAGATGCCCAAGGTGGACATCAAGGCCCCCGAGGTGGACATCCAGGTAGCCAAACTGGACCTGGAGGGCACCAAAGCGGAGGTGACGGCCCCCGGCGTGGAGGTGTCTCTGTCCAGCATGGAGGTGGATGCCAAGGTGCCCGGTGCCAAACTCGAGGGCAGCGTCACCCCGGGAGACAAGGAGGTGGCCGCCAGAGACAGCAAGTTCAAAATGCCCAAGTTCAAGATGCCGTCCTTCAGCGTGTCGGCCCCACGCAAGGATCTGGGAACATCCGTGGACGTGCCTGTGCCCAAGGTCGGACGGGAGGCAACCCTGCACTCTGTAGGAGGAAAGATCACAGCCCCGGAGGGCAGCATCCAGCTGTCATCTGCTGACATCCACCTGCCAGGGGCAGAGCTGGAGGTGGCCCTGCCTGAGGGAGAGGTGACAGTGGCCGAGCTGAAGGGGAAAGCAGAAGCGGCCAGGATCGAGGGCCACCTGCCGAAGGTGCAGATGCCCAGCGTCAAGATGCCCAGGGTGGACATCAAGGCCCCCCAGGTGGACGTCAAGGGCCCCAGCGTGGACCTGAAAGGCCTCCAGGGGGAGGTAAGCACCCCCGGTGTGGAGGTGTCTCTGCCCAGCGTCGAGGTGGACGCCGAGGTGCCAGGCGCCAAGCTGGAGGGCGACGTGTCCCTGGGAGACAAGGAGGTGGCTGCCAGAGACAGCAAGTTCAAAATTCCGAAGTTCAAGATGCCGTCTTTCGGCCGGTCAGCACCAAGCAAGTCCGTCGAGGCCTCGGTGGATGTGTCCCTGGCAAAGGTGCAGGCCGACATATCCCGGCCCTCCATTGAGGCGGACGTCAAGACCGGAGACCTCAGCGTTGAGCTCCCATCGGCCGAGCTGGAGGTCAAGACAGCCCAGGTTGACGGGAAGCTCCCGGAGGGCCAAGTGACTGAGGGAGAGCTCCCGGAACGCGCCGCAGCCGGACTCAAAGGCCACCTGCCCAAGGTGCCGATGCCCAGCATCAAGATGCCCAAGGTGGACATCAAGGCCCCCGAGGTGGACATCAAGGGTGCCAAACAGGACCTGAAGGACGCCAAAGTGGAAGTGACAGTCTCTGGCGTGGAGGTGTCTGTGCCCAGCTTAGAGGTGGACACGCAGGTGCCGGGCGCCGAGCTCGAGGGCGACGTTTCCCTGGGAGACAAGGAGGTAGCCGCCAGAGACAGCAAGTTCAAAATGCCCAAGTTCAAGATTCCGTCCTTAGGCGTGTCTGCCCCACGGAAGGATCTGGGAACATCCGTGGACATGCCCATGCCCAAGGGCGGAGGGGAGGTGACCCTGCCCACTGTGGGTGGAGATATCACAGCCCCGGAGGGGAGCGTCCAGCTGCCATCTGCTGATATCCACCTCCCAGGGGGAGAGCGGGAGGTGGCCGTGCCCGAGGGAGAGGAGTCGGTGGCTGAGCTGAAGTGCAAAGCAGAAGGGGCCGGGATCAAGGGCCACCTGCCAAAGGTGCAGGTGCCCAGTGTGACGATGCCCAAGGTGGACATCAAGGCCCCCCAGGAGGACATCAAGGGCCCCAGCGTGGACCTGAAAGGCCTCCAGGAGGAGGGGAGCGCCCCCGGCGTGGAGGTGTCCCTGCCCAGCATGGAGGTGGATGCCAAGATGCTGGGCACCAAGCTGGAGGGCGACGTGATCCTGGGGGACAAGGAGGTGGCCGCCAGAGACAGCAAGCTCAGAATGCCCAAGTTCAAGATGCCGTCCTTTGGCGTGTCGGCGCCAGGCAAGTCTGTCGAGTCCTTGGCAGATGTGTCCCTGCCCAAGGTACAGGCTGATGTCAAGACTGGAGACCTCAGCATTGAGCTGCCATCCTCTGAGCTGGAGGTCAAGACAGCCCAGGTGGGCGGGAAGCTCCCAGAGGGCCAAGTGACCGAGGGAGAGCTCCCAGAAGCTGCCGCAGGTGCCGGACTCAAAGGGCAAATGCCCAAGGTGCAGATGCCCAGCATCCAGATGCCCAAGGTGGACATCAAGGCCCCCGAGGTGGACGTCAAAGGCGCCAAATTTGACCTGGAGGGCGCCACGGGAGAGGTGACCGCCCCCAGCGTGGATGTGTCTCTGCACAGCATGGCGTTGGATGCCAAGATGCTAGGCTCCAAGCTGGAGGGCGATGTGACCCTGGGGGACAAGGAGGTGGCCGCCACAGACAGCAAGTTCAAAATACCCAAGTTGAAGATGCCGTCCTTCGGCCTGTCGGCACCAAGCAAGTCCGTTGAGGCCTCGGCAGACGTGTCCCTTGCAAAGGTGCAGGCCGACATGTCCCGGCCCTCCACCGAGGCGGACGTCAAGACCGGAGACCTCAGCGTTGAGCTCCCATTAGCTGAGCTGGAGGTCAAGACAGCCCAGGTGGGCGGGAAGGTCCCAGAGGGCCAAGTGACCGAGGGAGAGCTCCCGGAACGCGCCGCAGCCGGACTCAAAGGCCACCTGCCCAAGGTGCAGATGCCCAGCATCAAGACGCCCAAGGTGCACGTCAAGGCCCCCGAGGTGGACCTCAAGGTCGCCAAACTGGACCTGAAGGGCGCCAAGGCGGAGGTGACCGCCCCCAGCGTGGAGGTGTCTCTGTGTAGTGTGGAGGTGGATGCCAAGATGCTGGGCACCAAGCTGGAGGGCGACGTGACCCTGGGGGACAAGGAGGTGGCCGCCAGAGACAGCAAGCTCAGAATGCCCAAGTTCAAGATGCCGTCCTTCGGCGTGTCGGTGCCAGGCAAGTCCGTCGAGTCCTTGGCGGACGTGTCCCTGCCCAAGGTACAGGCCGACGTCAAAACCGGAGACCTCACTATTGAGCTGCCATCGGCCAAGCTGGAGGTCAAGACAGCCCAGGTTGGCGGGGAGCGCCCGGAGGGCCAAGTGACCAAGGGAGAGCTCCCGGAACGAGCCGCCGCCGGACTCAAAGGCCACCTGCCCAAGGTGCAGATGCCCCATATCACGATGCCCAAGGTGGACATCAAGGCCCCCGAGGTGGACATCAAGGGCACCAAACTGGACCTGAAGGGCGCCAAAGTAGAAGTGACAGTCCCTGGTGTAGAGGTGTCTGTGCCCAGCTTAGAGGTGGACACGCAGGTGCCAGGTGCCAAGCTTGAGGGCGCCGTGTCCCTGGGAGACAAGGAGGTAGCTGCCAGAGACAGCAAGTTGAAAATGCCCAAGTTCAAGATATCGTCCTTCGGCGTGTCTGCCCCACGCAAGCATCTGGGAACATCCGTGGACGTGCCCATGCCCAAGGGCGGATGGGAGGTGACCCTGCCCACTGTAGGTGGAGAGATCACAGCCCCGGAGAGGAGTGTCAAGCTGCCATCTGCTGATATCCACCTGCCAGGGGGTGAGCTGGAGGTGGCCGTGCCCAAGGAAGACGTGGCGGTGGCCAAACTGAAGGGCAAAGCAGAAGGGGCCGGGATCAAGGGCCACCTGCCAAAGGTGCAGATGCCCAGCGTGACGATGCCCAAGGTGGACATCAAGGCCCCCCAGATGGACATCAAGGGCCCCAGTGTGGACCTGAAAGGCCTCCAGGGGGAGGAGAGCGCCCCCGGCGTGGAGGTGTGTCTGCCCAGCGTGGAGGTGGACCTCCAGGTGCCGGGCGCCAAGCGGGAGGGTGACGTGTCCCTGGGAGACAAGGAGGTGGCCGCCACAGACAAGAACTTCAAAATGCCCAAGTCCAAGATGCCGTCCTTCGGGCTGTCAGCGCCAAGCAAATCAGTCGAGGCATCAGCAGACGTGTCCCTGCCTTCCATCCAGGCTGACATCAAGACCGGAGACCTCAGCGTTGAGCTCCCATCTGCCGAGCTGGAGGTCAAGACAGCCCCGGTGGGCGTGGAGCTCCCGGAAGGCCAAATGCCCGAGGGACAGCTCCAGGAACTCGGCACTGGAGCCGGAATCAAAGGGCACCAGCCCAAGGTGCAGATGCCCAGCATCAAGAAGCCCAAGGGGGACATCAAGGCCCCCCAGGTGGACATCAAGGGCACCAGTGTGGACCTGAAAGGCATCCAGGCGAAGGTGAGCGCCCCCGGTCTGGAGGTGTCTCTGTCCAGCGTGGAGGTGGATACCCAGGTGCCGGGCGCCAAGCTGGAGGGCGACGCGTCCCTGGGAGACAAGGAGATGGCCGCCACAGACAGCAAGTTCAAAATGCCCAAGTTCAAGATGCCATCCTTTGGGCTGTCGGCACCAAGCAAGTCCGTCGAGACCTCGGCAGACGTGTCCCTTCCAAAGGTCCAGGCTGACGTGTCCCGGCCCTCCATCGAGGCTGACGTCAAGACCGGAGACCTCAGCGTTGAGCTGTCATCGGCCGAGCTGGAGGTCAAGTCGGCCCAGGTGGGCGGGAAGCTCCCAGAGGGCCAAGTGACGGAGGGAGAGCTCCCAGAACCCGCCGCAGGAGCCGGACTCAAAGGGCAAATGCCCAAGGTGCCGATGCCCAGCATCCAGATGCCCAAGGTGGACATCAAGGCCTCCGAGGTGGACGTCAAAGGCGCCAAACTTAACCTGGAGGGCGCCAAGGCAGAGGTGACCGCTCCCAGCGTGGAGGTGTCTCTGCGCAGCGTGGAGGTGGATGCCAAGGTGCCTGATGCCAAGCTCGAGGGCAGCGTCACCCCGGGAGACAAGGAGGTGGCCGCCAGAGACAGCAAGTTCAAAATGCCCAAGTTCAAGATGCCGTCCTTCAGCGTGTCGGCCCCACGCAAGGATCTGGGAATATCCGTGGACGTGCCCATGCCCAAGGTCGGAGGGGAGGCGACCCTGCCGTCTGTGGGAGGAGAGATCACAGCCCCGGAGGGCAGCGTCCAGCTGTCATCTGCTGATATCCACCTGCCAGGGGCAGAGCTGGAGGTGGCCCTGCCTGAGGGAGAGGTGACAGTGGCCGAGCTGAAGGGGAAAGCAGAAGGGGTCTGGATCGAGGGCCACCAGCCAAAGGTGCAAATGCCCAGCATCAAGACGCCCAAGGTGGACATCAAGGCCCCCCAGTTGGACATCAAGGGCCCCAGCGTGGACCAGAAAGGCCTCCAGGGAGAGGTGAGCGCCCCCGGCGTGGCGATGTCTCTGCCCAGTGTGGAGGTGGACGCTCAGGTGCCGGGCGCCAAGCTGGAGGGGGACCCGTCCCTGGGAGACAAGGATGTGGCTGCCAGAGACAGCAATTTCAAAATGCCCATGTTCACGATGCCATCCTTCGGCCTGTCGGCACCAAGCAAGTCCGTCGAGGCCTCGGAGGACGTTTCCCTGGCAAAGGTCCAGGCCGACATGTCCCTGTCCTCAATCCAGTCCGACGTCAAGACCGGAGACCTCATCCTTGAGCTCCCATTGGCCAAGCTGGAGGTCACAACAGCCCAGGGGGGTGGGAAGCTCCCGGAGGGCCAAGTGACCGATGGAGAGCTCCCGGAACTCGCTGCAGCCGGACTCAAAGGCCACCTGCCCAAGGTGCAGATGCCCAGCATCCAGATGCCCAAGGTGGACATCAAGGCCCCCGAGGTGGACGTCAAGGGCGCCAAACTGGACCTGAAGGGCACCAAAGCAGAGGTGAGCGCCCCCGAGGTGGAGGTTTCTCTGCCCAGTGTGGAGGTGGGTGCCAAGGTGCCAGGCACCAAGCTCGAGGGCGACGACACCCCTGGAGATAAGGAGGTGGCCGCCGGAGACAGCAAGTTCAAAATGCCCAAGTTCAAGATGCCGTCCTTCAGCGTGTCTGCCCCACGCAAGGATCTGGGAACATCCGTGCACGTGCCCATGCCCAAGGTCAGAGGGGAGGCGACCCTGCCCTCTGTGGGAGGAGAGATCACAGCCCCGGAGGGCAGCATCCAGCTGTCATCGGCTGATATCCATCTGCCAGGGGCAGAGCTGGAGGTGGCCCTGCCCGAGGGAGAGGTGGCAGTGGCCGAGCTGAAGGGGAAAGCAGAAGGGGCCAGGATCAAGGGCCACCTGCCAAAGGTGCAGATGCCCAGCATCAAGATGCCCAAGGTGGACATCAAGGCCCCCCAGTTGGACATCAAGGGCCCCTGCGTGGACCTGAAAGGCCTCCATGGGGAGGTGAGCGCCCCCGGCGTGGAGGTATCTCTGCCCAGTGTGGAGGTGGACGCTCAGGTGCCGGGCGCCAAGCTGGAGGGCGACGTGTCCCTGGGAGACAAGGAGGTGGCTGCCAGAGACAGCAAGTTCAAAATGCCCAAGTTCAAGATGCCGTCCTTCGGCCTGTCAGCACCAAGCAAGTCTGTCGAGGCCTCGGAGGACGTGTCCCTGGCAAAGGTCCAGGCCGACATGTCGCTGCCCTCAATCCAGGCCGACGTCAAGACCGGAGACCTCTGCATTGAGCTCCCATTGGCCGAGCTGCAGGTGAAGACAGCCCAGGTTGGCGGGAAGCTCCCGGAGGGCCAAGTGACCGAGGGAGAGCTCCCGGAAGGTACTGCAGCTGGACTCAAAGGGCACCTGCCCAAGATGCAGATGCCCAGCATCCAGATGCCCATGGTGGACATCAAGGCCCCCGAGGTGGACGTCAAGAGCGCCAAACTGGACCTGAAGGGCGCCAAAGCGGAGGTGAGCACCCCCGAGGTGGAGGTTTCTCTGCCCAGCGTGGACGTGGATGCCAAGGTGCCGGGCGCCAAGCTCGAAGGCGACGACACCCCTGGAGAAAAGGAGGTGGCCGCTAGAGACAGCAAATTCAAAATGCCCAAGTTCAAGATGCCCTCCTTCGCCGTGTCTGCCCCACGGAAGGATCTGGGAACATCAGTGGACGTACCTGTGTCCAAGGTCGGAGGGGAGGCTACCCTGCCCGACATGGGAGGAGAGATCACAGCCCCGGAGAGCAGCGTCCAGCTGTCATCTGCTCATATCCACCTGCCAGGGACAGAACTTGAGGTGGCCCTGACCGAGGGGGAGGTGGCAGTGACCGAGCTGAAGGGGAAAGCAGAAGGGGCCAGGATCAAGGGCCACCTGCCAAAGGTGCAGATGCCCAGCATCAAGAAGCCCAAGGTGGACATCAAGGCCCCCCAGGTGGACATCAAGGGCCCCAGCGTCGACCTGAAAGGCCTCCAGGGGAAGGTGAGCACCCCCGGTGTGGAGGTGTCTCTGCCCAGCGTGGAGGTGGATGCCCAGGTGCCGGACACCAAACTGGAGGGCGATGTGTCCCTGGGAGACAAGGAGGTGGCCGCCGCAGACAGCAAGTTCAAAATGCCCAAGTTCAAGATGCCGTCCTTTGGGCTGTCGGCACCAAGCAAGTCCGTCGAGACCTCGGCAGACGTGTCCCTGCCAAAGGTCCAGGCTTACATGTCCCGACCCTCCATCGAAGCCGACGTCAAGACCGGAGACCTCAGTGTTGAGTTCCCATCGGCCGAGCTGGAGGTCAAGACAGCCCAGGTTGGCGGGAAGCTCCCAGAGGGCCAAGTGACCGAGGGAGAGCTCCCGGATCCAGCCGCTGGAGCCGGACTACAAGGGCACCTGCCCAAGGTGCAGATGCCCAGCATCAAGATGCCCAAGGTGGACATCAAGGCCCCCCAGGTGGACGTCAAGGGCGCGAAACTTGACCTGAAGGGCCCCAAAGTGGAAGTGACAGCCCCCGGTGTGGGGGTGTCTGTGCCCAGCTTAGAGGTGGACACGCAGTTGCCGGGCGCCAAGTTTGAGGGTGACATGTCCCTGGGAGACAAGGAGGTAGCCGCAAGAGACAGCAAGTTCAAAATGCCCAAGTTCAAGATGCCGTCCTTCGGCGTGTCTGCCCCACGCAAGCATCTGGGAACATCCGTGGATGTGCCCATACCCAAGGTCGGAGAGGAGGGGACCCTGCCCTCTGTGGGTGGAGAGATCACAGCCCCGGACGGGATCGTCCAGCTGCCATCTGCTGATATCCACCTGTCAGGGGCAGAGCTGGAGGTGGCCCTGCCCGAGGGAGAGGTGGCAGTGGCCGAGCTGAAGGGCAAAGCAGAAGGGGCCTGGATCAAGGGCCACCTGCAAAAGGTGCAGATGCCCAGCGTCAAGATGCCCAAGGTGGACATCAAGGCCCCCCCGGTGGACATCAAGGGCCCCAGCGTGGACCTGAAAGGCCTCCAGGGGGAGGGGAGCGCCCCCTGCGTGCAGGTGTCTCTGCCCAGCGTGGAGGTGGACGCCCAGGTGCCGGGCGCCAAGCTGGAGGGCGACGTGTCCCTGGGAGACAAGGAGGTGGCCACCACAGACAGGAAGTTCAAAATGCCCAAGTCCAAGATGCCGTCCTTGGGGCTGTCGGCACCAAGCAAATCAGTCGAGGCATCAGCAGACGTGTCCCTGCCAAAGGTACAGGCTGACGTGTCCCTGCCCTCCATCCAGGCTGACGTCAAGACCGGAGACCTCAGCGTTGAGCTCCCATCTGCCGAGCTGGAGGTCAAGACAGCCCAGGTGGGCGTGAAGCTCCCGGAGGGCCAAGTCCCTGAGGGAGAGCTCCAGGAACTCACCACTGGAGCCGG